GATGATGAACAGGCACGATCAAGGTTCACGTAGAAGGGCCCGAGATGGAAGGAAGAGAGAACCACGGGATTAGATATTACTCGGCGCCGAGGTCGCTCGCCAACTGGCTTTGATATATTACCGAGTGATAATCCTATCTGCGCACAAAGCCAGGACACAACGATACGACCGGAGCAACTGGATGCCATGTCGACTCCATTGCACTTACAATATGTATCCAGCTGCCTGCCGGTGAGAACGCGAGTTGTGTCTAAGACGCTTATAGAGCATGGAAGTAAACGCGGTCTCTGCGCCACACACTGACGTCTGATGAGGGATAGACTAAGGATGGAAATCCCTGTTTGGCGGAGGACGGTCAAACAACTTTGCCGGGAACGATTGCAATGCGATGCAATATTATCTCTCGTAATGCGCGGACATAAAATACGGCGGATAACATGAATTGCGAAGATTTCCCGTTGTAATATGAAACGTCAAAGTAAAGTAGGTAAAGCAATTACTACACCCGCGAACAACGTTTTGTCCTTTCTCGTTTTATTCCTAAAAGAATGATCAGCCATTGCACGCGATAGTGAACAAACAAATAATATATAATATTTTACGTTTCTGTGACCAAAATAGAACCTTTCAAGAACATTGAAACATTTCAACCGTATTTACTTTTCTAGTATTTACGACATTTAGTCTAACTTAATTATTTATCAAGTTTCCATTTCTGTGAAATTAATGGTGAATTGGCTCGAAAAAAGTTAAAAATATTAAAAATTATAAAAATGAAATATAAAATATAAAGCCATTAAAAATCATTTTATATTATATTTTGTGCTACACATATATTTTATGCTACACATTATTAATTCCATGTCCAGATTGTAAAATTATAGCTCCTGAATAACATTTTCAAGAGTCGAAAAACATCTATGATTAAATAATAACGGTGTAATTCATGATACAAAAACAAAATTTAAATATGCAGAGAAAAAGAGTAAAACACGCATTAACTCCATACCATACATTATCTCTTAATTCTATGATAACGTCATTACAATACGTAACCATATTTAAATCTACCAAAAACCAAATAAATTTAAAAATCAGTTTTTCGTTTGTCTTTTTCGAATGTACATCACAATAGAATTTTATTAATATAGCAAAAAATTACAGAATCTTTTAATTAAAAACCTTAAAAATTATAAGCCTAAGTCACAGAAAATATGTACGAGAAAGGAAATTTAAAAAAATTTCATGATTTATTTCATTTATATAAATTACATATTGCTAATGAACTCATTACAATATTATGATGCAATCTAAATTATTATATTAATTTAGTTTTGTTATTATTATAAAATTAAATCAGTATTATTCTCGAACAATATTACAATGTTACTAAATATAGAACTAAAATACGTGGATGCAAAGTTGATTATACTTCAAAAAACTCAATATATTTATAATCGAATAAATCTATACGTCACAAGAAAAATAGTGTGGAAAATTAATAAAATATTCCAATACTTACGACGTTTGGAAATTTATCTTTAATAGATTTCGCAATAAACCATCATAAGGCTACGTATAAATTATCAATCTATACTACACGCGTGCTTTGCACAGTACGATTCAATCTTCAATCCCAGTTTACGTATTTCCGTTGAATTGATAACATAATCGATGATATGCAAAGCTCTCTCAATTCATTCCATCGCACAAGCTGCGTCTCAAAGCGAGCAAAAGACGAGCGCGCGGCATATTACTCCTGGGCCACAATGTAGCTCGAATTGATTCCGCGGGTGAGCCCTGCACACGGGAAGAGAGATTGTCGAGATCTCCAGCGTGCCGTGTGTCCGACCGGAGGTTGAGAAAAAAAAAAAGAGAAAGAGGGAGGAAAAAAGCGGAGTTCTCGATACATACCGATGTGTATGGCCGTTCGCGGGGCGCCCCGGGGCCATCCGACGAAATTGCATCCGGAATTTCAATATAGCGCATATCATATTTCAACCTTAAAACGCCGCCAGCGCTGTCCGGGTATTACTTTGAGGCTTCCTGTGCCCGTAGAAGGCGACTTTGCCCACCGATTATAGAGATTCCGACTGCGGTAAGGTACGCACGCAGGTGAAATGCGAGGGGAGAGACTGAGGAATGGGCAACTAACCCCCTTACTTCCCCTCTCTCTCTCTCTCTCTCTCTCTTTTTCCCTTTCTCCCCCTTTCGCCCCTTTCTCTCCTCCCTTCTGATACGATCCTTTCATCGGACTGGAGCAGCCTGTAGGGGACATTAGATGGTTTTCGCTCGGAATAAATGATCAAAAGGTAACTCCGGATTAAAGCTGTCGCTCGCCCGGTGACTCGCTCGCGCTTATACGCTCCGCTGCGACCCGGATGTTGCGCTTTTACAAAGCGGTTTTAATCAAATTTTCAGAAGAGTCAGTGATGCTATTAATACATATTCGCCCGTGCCGGAAGGCGCGCGCGTTCTCTCAGTTCCAGATTCTTTGTCAGATTTGGAGATGATTCTGGCTTTAGTGAAAGGTTAATAAGAAAATTGAATTACCTCTCCGCGCTTAAAGTTTGTTTACAGAAGATGGAAATTTATATGCCGTTTAGTCAGTTTTAAATTGTTTATTATTCAAACTTTAAAGCTTTATTAGTTATTTAGTGCTACTATAAGTTTTGTTATCTTTGATTCTGTGTAGTACTGATTGTGAGTTCTTTTCCTATTAAAAATATATTTTTTACTACATTATCAGCTATGATCAAAGTATATGATCAAAAACAGTAAAAAGAAAGTCTTTAATATTAAAAATAAAAGAGAATTATATATTAATAATGAGAATAATATAATATCGTAAATTTTCATAATAGATTGATTCAAATTTATCAAATTTTTGTAAAAAAGTGCTATATTTTCATACATATCATATTATATTATTTTATATTGTTTCACAAATTATATAAATTATTATTAAATGCATTTTTTATCCTTTTCTTTTTCATGAAAAAAAAAAATATAATAACTATAAGATCTAACAGAAAAATAGTACAATTTTACAAATCGGTGATTACTGCGTAATTATCATGTGATATATGAGAGATGCCACAGAAAAAAATTCTTTTAAATAAAACACTTTTCTCAGGAATATATAAAAAAATATAATTATTAATAGCAATGATGCTGGATTACGAACCGATTATACTTTCAAAGCGTGTTTTTCTTTCGTTTTTTCATCGTGTATGATGGAGAAAAGGAAAAAATTATCTCTCGCCGTTCAAATCGGAGGCGAGAAAGACGAGATAAATTAATGTCAGTTCGTTAGGGCGGCTTGTACTCGTATCGCAGAATTTAATTACTTTAGTGTGAGTAAAAGTAAATGGCAGCCACGAGAAAAATGTCGATTTAACGAGGATGCACAAGCGTATCGCTATCGAAACACTCGGGATGTTCGCCATTAGATGGAATGACCCTTCGAGCAATTTTCACCTATCCGGCGATCTCCAGGGACGACGACGATGGACAAAATATATTCTCTTTTTATTAATGAAAGATATCATAAACGAGTTCCGAAGCAATCTTCCGCCAAGTGCTCGGCGGAGCGCCGAGACAATTTTCTTTCCAAGTTTACCCGCTCGCACTTATCGAGAGACGAGTTTTCCGCGAGCAAAAAATTCTTATTATGACTTATCCGTGATCGACTGCTACGACTGAGATATCCCGGATAAACTGAGATAAGCGGGAATCTACGATGACGAAATCGGCAGGATAATCGCAATATTGTAATTGAAGGAGACATGCGTTAGCATGACATGCGTTAGCTTGAGAGAGAGAGAGAGAGAGAGAGAGAGAGAGAGAGAGAGAGAGAGAGAGAGAGAGAGAAACGAGGACACTCGGTATCGAGGAGATACCGCTTGGCTCGACACGGTGATTTATCGTCACTGTCGTCGAGGGGAAAGAGAGGGACAGTGTCATGAAAGAGCGGCCGATGCAATATCAACGAAATCGGCCAAGCCAGAGAGGTAACGAAAACATTTATACGTTAAATGAAATTGGGAGTGAATGGGAGAGATTGACGGGAGTTATGCATCGAGTCGCGGCGGACGGGCGGCGAGATCCTGGCGAAGGTTCCGCTAATACCGTGTCGTTTATCACGACTGGGCGAATGGAGAGCTCGTGAGATCGCGCGGAGATCGTCCGGAGACAAGCTGCACACGCGGTGTTATACGCCGCGCTACTAAGTTCGCCTGAGTTGCTGGTGATTAATCGATAATGGGCTCCATATGATACGGACGGTATACGTTGTCGATGTGCGAAACGACCTTAATCACGTTAGTTGACGGTGACATGATCGATATATTATGATGGGACAGGTCATTCCGTTTCGTTCAGCTTAACGTCACGGCGCACCGCTCCTGGCGTTCACGTCATGCTTATCTTGCTCGCGTATCTGCATGTTACGCCCGCATCTACATATACATTATCATAATAGAAGCGAGCTGACTAATTAATCGATCCACGCGTGCCACTTCCCAATTTCAGTTTGCGCAATTTCAAATTTATGTTGGAACGCACGAAACAAGTTATTCCTAGTGCACAGATAAACATCATATTATGTTTATAATTACACTTTTGCTAAACAAGAAAAAAACTGTTTGCTTTACGCGGTAAAGCAACTCAATGCTAAACGTAAAATATGAGGTTTACGAAAACAAATGTACATATGCTTTGACCAAAATAAATTTCAAAACAGGAAGTGAATGTTATTTTATATGCGTATGTAGAAGAATATATAACTCTCTACCTCTCATTTTGAAATTATCAGATAGTCGTGTTGGCCACCTATGTTTTTTTCTTACCGCCATGTCTCAGGAGAAAATTTACTGCTAAACGATGTCGGTGACTATTAGATAAGAATGCTGGCTAAATCTTTTCTCGATGTAAAGAAAGAAGCTTTCGCACTTTAACAATAATCCTCACGCGTTTGTACTCTGACGTTTTTGTTGCAGTATGCCACCTACTGCGCGGCGGTGTGGCAGCGATTTTTGGACCGCAGAGCGCGCACACGGCATCTCACGTGCAGAGCATTTGCGACACCATGGAAATTCCGCACTTGGAGACGCGCTGGGACTACCGGCTTAGACGGCAGAGCTGCCTCGTCAACCTCTATCCGCATCCGACGACTTTGTCCAAGGTAACGTATACACAAACTTTAGCCAGAATAATAGCCTCATTAAAGCGGCACCCATCGCGCAAAATCTGCCTTCGTGACCCTTCTCCTTCACGGGCTTCTTGCCTCTCGGAAGGTGTTTTACCTCTGCGTTCATCGACGAGCAAACATGCGGCCCTTTCAGATCGCGGGATTAACGATTGTCGCTTTAATCAAGGTAATTTCGACAAATTCGTGCTTCGCATCTCGCATTGCACCGTAATTATAATTGCAGGAGTGGAGCGACAAGAAAAATTAATGAAAGTCTAGAAAAACGTCAAATTTTTAATAGAGAGACAAAAAACATAACATTATAATTATTTATTATAAAAATTGATTAATAAAGTTGTGTACTTCAAGCGTTTGAAATTTTCTTTTCTTGTCAATCAAAAATATAATTAAAATCACTGATCAAAAGATTATATCAATTTTGCATTTTACTGTAATTATAATTTTCATGAGAAGCGAAAAGAAATATCACTGAAGTCTATAGAAAAACATTATATTTTCAGTAGAGGTAAAAAAACGCAGGCAAAAATCACAGTATTATAAAAATTGATTAAGTAAGGCTGTATTTCAGGCGCTTGAAATTTTCTTTTCTTGCTAGTTAAACAAAAATATAATTGAAACCGTTAAGAAACTCAAGCTATTTTCACGTTTGATTGAAAGATTATATCGGTTTCGCATTTTCATCAAGGTATAGCGCGGAATTACGGAGGATCATTTTTGCGACCAAGGCGCGTTCGCTGTTACATTCAATTGTATCTGTATGCATCGGATATTGTACCCACAGTGCGGTAATTCTGAAAACTTAACGCGAAAGAACTGAAACTTTTTGAATTTCTCTTAATAAGCGCGAAGTTTCGTAAAGGGGTGGCGGCTGAAAGCTCCGGTTTGTATATATAGCTCTCGGGCTTTTTGGGTTAACGAGAGTTCTCGCTCTATCTATCCATTTTCTTTCCCTCTCTCTTCATTCTCTCTCTTTCTCTTTCTCTCTGCGCTTGTTGTTTTATGAATTCTCGCAACTCTTTCTCCTTCTCAATATTTGTCATTCACGAACACTTGCATCTTCCGACACTATACGCTCTTTCTTCTTCGCTCGTTCCCACATTCCCTCTCAATATTTGCCGCTAGATTTGTCGTCTATTCCCGAAAGCGTTTTGTTTATTCTCCGTATAGGATGCGGTGGAATCTTGCTCATCGCCCATCACCGAGTTCCCCTTTATTTTCGAAGGGACTCGCGAACGGAAAATAAATATCCGCGGCTGCGAGGCGCTTTACGCTTCAAACGAGAGAACATTCGTGAGAAAGTCGATAAATCCCGTCGCTGCGGGCGAACGAAACGCGCAAGCATGTTCCAAAAGGAAGTGTAAAAGTCAGCGAAAATGAAATTTTTCTTCTGACGTACACATCAGAAAACAATTGCTTGTATCTTAAATATCTAATGATGTTGACGTATTTGCAAATCAAAAATACAATTTTCACATAAGTATTATACTGTAATTGCGAGTGTGGCATTAAATTTCATTGACTATGCTAAACCAAACGTCTGTTAGCAATTTTTGTGTCCGTTGGAAATAAGACACGATCAACAGATAGGATATATTTCTACGTGACGGATTTCCCGGAGTCCTTTACGGATTTCGTATGAAATATTGATGACTAGATAATAATTTACGGTCGCGTAGGTTGGCTTTGACAGCCTCGATCAAAGAGCTTTCAGCATTGGTGCACAGAGGACACAATTTAAAGGCCACCGCATACCTAAAGCTATTCGCTCTTTTCTCTCGCTTTCTCTCTCTCTCTCTCTCTCTCTCTCTCTCTCTCTCTTTCTCTCCCTCTCTCTCTCTCTCTCTCGTCGGAGTAAGAATTTCAATTAAAATCCACTCATGTGTCGCATCACCGAGCTTCGAATATTTGTTAAAAATCATCAATTTCAATAATACTATTCAGTATTTCTAAATATTCTAAATATTTCGAAATATTTCGATAAACTCACAATTAACACGTGTATTTATACAAATACATCTGACACACAAAATGACTTTCATTTGCTATAATAAACTCTTTGCTATAATTTACGTACACTGAGAAAAAAAATTAATTGTACAAACTTATATAGTTGTTTGATCCAATAGTTAATTCAACATTTCTTTAGTTGCACAAAGAAAGATATAGTTCATTTATGTCAACTATAAAAATTTTTTAATTAATAATTAACTAAACTAACTCAATTAAATTATTTTGTTCGAAATACTAGTAGTATTTATTTGTGTTTGTATGATATTTAGTTATCCAAGTAATATTTAAATTCCAAGTATGGAACTACTCTACATGCTGATAAGGATAATAAATAGTGTGTATTTTTAATAAAACGGTTGAGTTGAATACGATAAATTTTTGTTGAAACAAAATAGTTTAGTTAAAATAATATTTTGTTTATAATAGTAACAAATTATTTTGTGTCATCGTAGTAACGTTTAGTCGAACGTATCGGACTAAATATTTTGGTAAAATAAAACAAATTTTGCGTTTGGTAAATTTCAACAAATTTTTTTTCTCAGTGTATACTTGTAAACTGTTTGAATAAAAGATTGTTATAAGAGAAAATTTGAACGTTACGTAAAGTGATAAAATTTTGCACCTTATAATATTCTAATATCTCGATTAAGAGAAAGAAATTATTCGTAGAACATTTTTCTCATCATATACGAAATTAATTTTCTGTACAAACAATAAGAGAATTTGAATTTAAAATAAATATGTACATATTTAATAACTTTAATATAATTTAATAATTTTATGATATATTTATTAATTTAAATGTGCATTGCTACTAAAAGATAAATTTGTATTTACAAAGACACAGGAAAAGAATAACATAGATTTTTTGTAATATTAAAATAATTTTTATACCTAAACTAGTGCAACGATGATTGGTTGAGGGAGAGAGAGAGAACACACTTTTTTGGATTAGAACTCGTGTTAGACTTCAATTTCTTAATTTGCAAAACTCAATGCTGGCACAATAAAATGTCAGGCGCGCGAAAGGGGGGGAGGAGAGCTGCGAGACATAAAGAAGGCGGAGGAACGTTTAATAAGCTTTCGCGTTCTGAAAGTGATAAACATCAGGTTTCCTCAGTCTCAGGTTTCCATTGTGAGTCGAGTAAACCGGAGGGAAGTAGCTTACGTCGTCAGTTATTTCACGGTGTTAGAGCGGGGTTGGTTTTCTCTCGCCCGAGTTCTTTTCTCGGCGGAGTCCCGCCATTTCCAACGGCGAAAATGCAAAATTCACTAGCAGAGCAGCGGGCGTCCTGATTAGAGTACTCGACGGAGGAAAAGGAAAATCGAAAAAAGACAGCGGAGGTGGGTGAACGTTGGCGTCGATTCCGTCAAACGAGCGACAGCCTCATTCAGTCAACCCGACGGCGGAAATATTTTACTTTCCGGTACCATCTTATGCGTAGTTCAAAGGAACCGAAGGCGATTGCAAGGAGCAGAAAAATGAAGTAAAAAGTAGCACGACCAGTGAGTCTCTTTGATTCGCATCGGGTGAACTGCGGGGATAACTTTAATACCCTTCGCACCGCGATTTTCCGCAAAACGGCAACAAATTACTATCGCAAACGGCGTATTATTCCGGATGGTAAAATGAAAAAAAACAAACAATTTTTATCTATGAAAAATATCAAGAAACTGCAAGAAAATTGCGCCAAGTATTTTTAAATAATGATATTTATTTATTTAAACTTTAAAAATTAATACAAATATTGTAATTGCATATAACGTAAAATAAATTATTTAAATGAAAAAACGTTTTTATAAACTTATAAACTACCATTAGAGTATATTAGAGTATAGAAAGAAATACCAATTCTCAATTGATTTGAAACAATTAATAGATGTAACAATTTTGTTATCTTTAATTATTTTTGCGATAAAAATGGCGAAGCACGATCTAAATAATATAAATGCAGAATATTTCTCTTTTTCTATAAATATACTAAATAAATATGCTATCATTAGTAAAAATAATAAATGACATGACTTTGGCTACACGATACGTTGCCCTATCATTTTTGAAATGTCTTTGAGCAAGACGCTCCAATTATTACAGTCAAACGCGAAGACAAATCTATCCAATCTCGCTTTGAACTTTCGGACAGCTTGTATTGTCCGTGTCGAAATCGAATTGTCAGGTATTTCGATTCGCATTCCTGCGCGGACGTGGACTATTCCTTCTGGCGTGCTATTTTCTTTTATCCTAGCGAAATGAAAGAATCCTTGGTAAGCGATCAGAAGCAAATATTTTACAAACTCGTAAAATTATCGTTCTCTTAATAATTTAAAATATTAATTAGAAGAGAGATATTACGAAAACATATTTTTTATTTGTATAACTTTGACAAGTAAACAAAATTATTTGAATTTAATTATATATATTATATGATATCAGATACGTATACATATATCTCATATAAACAAATACGTAATATTCTTATGTATATAAAAATAAAATTATTTAAATTATACGTAACTGTGATTACGCTTTTGCAGAAATATTTATCGTGATTGCTTTATATTAAGGTCACAGACCAATTTAATTATATACATACGTGTTAAACATTACATGTATGTTGATCATTACACTATCATTGAGGATCACATCTTAATCGTTATAAGAGACACGGTGATCGTTCATTGCATGAATCCCCTTAATTATCTAAGATATCACTAATGATGTATAAATACATGTAATCAGTGAGACATTTTCTCTACAATCATGAATACATTTTAATCGGTGAATTCTCTATAATTAAAATCATTCCGTACAGTGAGGGAGAATCTGCACCTAAACATTGTGCTTATTTTTAAACTTGAAATGATGAAACGGCATTGGTCATTCCGTTCGCAAGATAATCGACATTATGATGATATAGCAGGCGATATGTTGGTGTTAATGAACCGCGAGGGGCGCAATTGCC